TTTAGTCTATTTATAGGCGACTAAATCTATTCTAAATAGATTCTTTAATCTATCCAAAAAATAGAGAAATCATTGTCTAGTATTTACCTTCATCTTAGTTTTCATTTTCTTTCCTTTCTTTCCCTGTGCAAGTCTTAACTGTTTCTTTCAGTTAGACTCATATCCTCTTCTCACCATGACACCTGCCATCAGGTTTCATCAAAATCCATACGCCTTGGACCTAAGTGATAATTTTAGTATCATTTTTCAATAAATTTCTTTCCAATAAGTCTCTGTGTTCCATATCATAGTGCTCAGATTCCTGATACCTACCCACCTTGATTTGGGTAAAAAACACTAACTCATTTTAATCCTATTTCCCTGAGTGTCTTTTCATATCTTCATTGTTTTTTCTCCCTCCTTCTTTATTGCTTAGGAAAATAAATATTGGATAAATGGATTTTATTTCAGTGGTCTCTTGTTGGTATCCTTTAAGGCTCTTTCTTCAACCTCAGATCTTGTCTTTATAAAAGTCCTATAGGGATCCCTGGGTGGCGCAGCGGTTTAGCGCCTGCCTTTGGCCCAGGGCGCGATCCTGGAGACCCGGGATTGAATCCCACGTGGGGCTCCCGGTGCATGGAGCCTGCTTCTCCCTCTGCCTGTGTCTCTGCCTCTCTCTCACTGTGTGCCTATCATAAATAAATAAAAATTTAAAAAAAAATAAAAAAAATAAAAGTCCTATAAGTTGGGGCACCTGGGTGGTGCAGTAGGTTAAGCATCTGACTCTTGTTTTCAACACAGGTCACTCAGGTTTTGGTCTCCGGTCATGGAGTCAAGCCTTGTGTCAGGCTCTGCACTCAGTGCAAAGTCTGGTTGAGATTCTCTCGCCCTCTCCTCTAGACCACCCCCATCACCACTGCTTGCATATCTGTGTGCTCTCTCTCTCTTACAAGAAAAAAAAAAGTCCGGGATCCCTGGGTGGCGCAGTGGTTTGGCGCCTGTCTTTGGCCCGGGGCGCGATCCTGGAGACCTGGGATCGAATCCCACGTCGGGCTCCCGGTGCATGGAGCCTGCTTCTCCCTCTGCCTGTGTCTCTGCCTCTCTCTCTCTCTCTCTCTCTCTCTCTCTGTGACTGTCATAAATAAATAAATAAAAAATTAAAAAAAATTAAAAAAAAATTTAAGAAAAAAAAAGTCCTATAAGCTATTATAATTTGATCCATTCTCAAGTTGCGATTTTCTTGTTTTATGTGAATGGCTTTCAAGTAGACATTTTCAGCCCACTTCTCCCAATTGTGTATATTTTGATCTGCCTATAGCAATACAACAACCAGTTGTCTCATTGTCTCATCCTTTTGATACATTGATTTGTCAGAAATAATAGTCATTGTCTTTACCTTATCCTTACTTATTTTTATTTCCATTTTTCCCCATAGTCAGCCCCTTTTAGTATCAGGTTGATTCCATCATCTCTACTATACTTAATAATATCTCCACAATTTGTGTTATTTCACTTTGTGAAATATCTTTACATCCTCTCATATCCCCATTTGCTACTGACCTCTTCCAAAATAAGAGCATATTATTGTAGTAACTGCTCTAATTACTATTTGAATTTGCCATGATTTTACTTAGTTATTTCAGCTTATGTTGTCAATATACCAAAAAGATACCACTTATTATGTGAAATTTAAATCCCTTTAAGGGCTGACAGAAAAGTATCCCATCTGATCATTCCAAATTTATTTCTCTCTGTGACTGAGAATTCTTACTCATCTCTCTTTGTTGTGATCTCCCAGATGTACTCCATACAATTGATTTTATTCCTCACAACTGGACCTTTCATTATATAATTGTTAATACATTCCCATATAGATACTTGCAAAGTTAGCCAACTACAAGTTGGCTTGTGTACAGTAGTATACACAAGACCACCCTCACTTCTGACACCAATTGTAAGTTTGAGGGTCCCCACGACTACTGCTAGTATCAATAATATGCTATAAGAACTCATGGAAATTACTAAAAACTATACTACTCAGTTATGGTTTATTATAGAAGAAAAATACAGATTAGAATCAGCCAAGCACAAAGGGCAGAGTCTAGAAAAGTACCAAACATGAAGCTTCTAGTAGACTTCTCTCTGTAAAATCATGGACAGCATTACCTTGCTGGTATGACAGTACATACAGAATACTGCCAATCAGGGAAGCATCACGTGAGCCCATTGTCTAGAGTTTATATTGGGGCTCTATGACATAGGCATGATTAACCAACCATACATGTAGCCAATCTTAGTTTTCAGCCCCTCAAGAGGTAAAGCTGATATTGTATGACCCAAAGCCCCCACCCTAAATTGCACTGTTGCTGTGGCCCAAAGACCTCACCCTAAATTAATTACATTGTGACTTTCTGGCTGGCCAAATCCTCCCAGGCAAACAAATACATATTCCAAGGGCTTAGAGATTACCTCACAGAAGCCAAAGGCAAATGTCAGATGCCTATTTGGGCAAGGTTATATTCTCTGCTATACAATACCTACATATTATTTAGTTAAAAGATCAAGTTTTACTTCCTCTGTGAAATGTTTCTTGACTACTCCAGATCATGTCAGTTCCTTTTTTGCTGCGTTCATACTCTATTTATGTCTGTAAATTGTAAACAGACACATCCTCTGGTATTTTTTTAAGATTTTATTTATTTATTCATGAGAGACAGAGAGAGAGGCAGAGACACAGGCAGAGAGAGGAGCAGGCTCCATGCAGAGAGCCCGACGTGGGACTCGATCCCGGGTCTCCAGGATCATGCCCTGGGCTGAAGGTGGCGCTAAACCGCTGAGCCACCCAGGCTGCCCCCATGTCCTCTGGTATGATCAAACATTTTTCCCCATCTTATTAACAGGGCCCCCAAATAAGGTTCTCTCTTTTACTTTTCCTTATTGTAGCTTGCAACAGAAGCTACACATTCAATAGTTACCTATCTTTGATATCCTGCAAGGAAGACATCTTTTTCATCCATTGGGAAATAATTTAATGATAAGTTATTTTAAATACAGGACACCTGGGTGGCTCAGTGGCTAAGCATCTGCCTTTGGCTGAGGTTGTGATCCCAGGGTCCTGGGATCAAGTTCCATTGCAGGCTCCCTGCAGGGACTCCCTCTGCCTATGTCTCTACTTCTCTCTCTGTGTCTCTCATGAATAAATAAATAAAATATTTTTTAAAAAGTTATTTTAAATATAAATTCCAAGATCACATCCCTTTATCTCAAATAACCACATGTTAACATATACTCAGAAGATAGTCAATAAAATGTTGACATCCAAGAGCATAAGTTTTATTTGGGAAGGCAATATTATCAAATTGAGAATTTTACATATAATATTCATGTTAAAATAGGAGGTGGTTGAAAGAGTTTTTGAAATGAATGGTCCAGACTATCATTATAATCTAATTTCAGACAAAATAGACATTAAATGATAGAAATAATAATAGAATAATGTATGAAGGCTTTTGGATAAGTCCTTAAAAGTGGTTGAAGTTCTTAGGAAGATGATGTAACTCTAGTTACTGATACAGATTAATTTTATTGTTTTCTAGAACTGAACATACATGGAATTGTATAATATATATTCTTTTGCATAAAGCTTTTACTCTGAAAAATGAGATTCATCTGTTTTCATTGTGTATCAGATTTTTTCTTTATAATTGATGACTGGTATTACATTGTATACACATATGACACAATATTACCATTTAACTTTTGATGGATAACTGGCAGTTACCAGTTAAGGGCTATTGTAAATAAGACACATGTCAAGGGTAAGATGAATCCATATTTAAAATTGTCCTACTAGACATGGGTGGTAGACATAGCCAAGATTTTTTTTAAAAAATAATAATTAGGGTCAATCAGTGCTGTAAGCATACAGTTGAAGAATCCACTCCTTCACATCCACCATAGGGAATAGCAGAGTTAAGGTATGTTACTGCATTTGGAAGAAAACTTAAATCCATCCTTTCTGAAAGCTGAAAAATTAATTCAGCAAATGAAAGGAGGAAAAGTAGGGTGCCTTAGTGGCTCAGTTGGTTAGGTAGCTGCCTTTGGCTTAGGTCATGATCTCAGGTCCTGGGATCAAGCCCCATGTTAGGCTCCCTGCTCAGTGGGAAGTCAGCTTCTCCCTCTCCCTCTCCCTCTCCCCCTGCTTGTGTTTACATTTTTTTCTCTCTTTCTCAAATAAATAAAATCTTTTTTTAAAAAAAGGAGGAAAAGTTAGAATTGAGGGTCAGGAGAATTTAGTTATTGACCATCTCTGGAAGAACAAATTGATGGTAGCGGTCAGAATACAACAGTGATTATATTCATGTTTCATGTATGCTTTGTTCTCTGGTTTATTTTACAATTCCTAATGGAAATAGGTTTCCCAAAGTCTTCCCTTTCCAGAGAAAATAAGTTGTGTGTTAGGCCCTAGGCTATAAACAGTGTTTCTCTCAACACTAGGAAATGAGTGCTTGAGAAGGTTCATTTGCCATGGATGGGTTACAACCAAGTGAGGAAGAAACAAATAGAAATATTTTATAACACATATTTAGTCATGAGAGAATAATACTTAGGCTTTCATTTCTACTTGAACATTTTCCTTGCTTACTGGTTAGTAACCCTTAATAGGCTCACTCACTCTGTTATTTCTGAATCTGCCCATTCCCAGAACAATCCCACTTTCATCATCCTTTGACTTCTGTTTACTTGTCCTTGTGTTTTATACTTGCTCAATGTAGCTTATATTTACAATATGCCAAAGATATGAGTGTTGTTTTCTTATCCCAATTTTTCCTCATTTTAACTATGTAGCAGGATTTGTGTTTATGTCATATGAATTTTTCCTACCCAGAGGTAGTTTATTTGGCCTTTGTGTAGACCATAATAGTAGGCAGACAGTTGCACAATGGGTTGTTTGTTGTTTGTATATACACCCAATTCATAACATTTATGTGAAAACTTACAGTGTTGTTATTCTTTTCTAGAAGAAGATGGGAAAACTGAAGATGTTTTAGTGAAGTTCAAAGAATATCAAGACAGGCACTCTAGATCAGTCATATTCATCAACCACAAAAGACTAATTAAGGAAAGAAGTAATATTTTTGGAAAAACATTTACTGTAGGCAAGAACCGTATTATTTCAAAAACAACACTACGAGAATATAAGTCTGATGGAAAGGTTTTAAAAAATATTTCAGAATTAGTCAGTAGAAATATAAGCCCTGTAAGAGACAAATTTGGTGGTGAAAGTAATGGATGGGAGAAATCATTCATCAATACTAAGAATGAGAAAATTCATTCTACAGTGAACCTCTATAAACAAACAGAAAGGAGTCTGAGTAGTAAACAAGAGCTTATTCAGCATCAGAAGGTTCCAACTTCTGAGCAATCATTAGATGATAATGAATGTGAAAAATCCTTCCTTATGAAAGGAATGTTATTTACACATACTAGAGCTCACAGAGGAGAAAAACCGTTTGAATACAATAAAGATGGAATAGCCTTAATTGAAAAGTCAAATCTCAATGCCCACTCACAAACTTTTATTGAGAAGAAACCCCATGCATACAGCAAATATGGGAAGTTCCTCTGCAGGAAGTCTATTTTTATCATGCATCAAAGATCTCAAACAGAAGAAAAACCCTTTCAGTGTCCTTACTGTGGGAATAGCTTTAGACGGAAGTCATATCTCATTGAACATCAACGAATTCACACAGGTGAGAAACCTTATGTTTGTAATCAATGTGGGAAAGCTTTCCGTCAAAAGACAGCCCTCACTCTTCATGAGAAAACACATATAGAAGGGAAGCCCTACATCTGTATAGATTGTGGGAAATCCTTCCGGCAGAAGGCAACTCTCACTAGACATCACAAAACACATACAGGGGAGAAAGCCTATGAATGTACTCAATGTGGAAGTGCTTTTAGAAAGAAGTCATACCTCATTGATCATCAGAGAACTCACACAGGAGAGAAACCATATCAGTGTAATGAATGTGGGAAGGCATTTATCCAGAAGACAACCCTCACTGTACATCAGAGAACTCACACAGGAGAGAAACCCTATATTTGCAGTGAATGTGGGAAGTCCTTCTGCCAAAAGACAACCCTCACTCTCCATCAAAGAATTCATACAGGGGAAAAACCCTATATTTGTAATGAATGTGGGAAGTCCTTCCGCCAGAAGGCAATCCTCACTGTTCATCAGAGAATACATACTGGAGAGAAATCCAACGGATGTCCTCAGTGTGGGAAAGCCTTTAGTAGGAAGTCAAATCTCATTCGCCACCAGAAAACTCACACAGGAGAGAAACCGTATGAATGTAAAGAATGTGGAAAGTTCTTCAGTTGTAAGTCAAACCTCATTGTACATCAAAAAACTCACAAGGTAGAAACTATGGGAATTCAGTAAAGGATATGACTTTTTTGGTAAAAGCTTTTAAAGTCATAATAAGCCTTGTACATGATGTAGCTTGCAAGTGTAATAATATTCAACCATTTACAGTTTTATTCCACAAGTTTACCTACTATTTGTGACCCAGTAATAAACAGTTGACCAACAGGCAGTGGTCTGTGAACCACACTGAGCAGAAGTGTTTTAAAAGAAGTGTGAACTGTATTTCTCATCGCAAATATGAAAGAAAAATTAATTGTTACCTCCTTAAAATTTTCCACAGTTCTGATGTCTAACATTATAAATTAGGTTTTGCGTATTATGAACCTTTATATAAATTGGATTATACATCATGTATTCTTTTATATATGGCTTGTTCATTCATTATGTCTGTAAAACTCATCATTAGTGCATGCAGCAGAAGTTCATTTATTTCTATTCTATATAGAATTCCATCATATGATTAAATTACAATTTATCCAATCTACTCTTGATGGACTTTTTAATTGTTTACAGCTTATGGTCATAATAAATAATGCTTCTGTTAACATTTGTCTTTTGGTGTACATACATTCATTTCTCTTGTGTATATATTAGGAGTGGAATTGCTGGGTCCTAGAGCATATGTATGTTTGGTCAGTTTTGGTAGATACTACCAAATAACTCAGAACTTTCATAGCATGAGATAATTTACTCTGAAGGAAAACAATTATGAATATTAGTGATATGGTGATGGTTCCAACCAGAGCATTCATGCTAGAGAGAAACTCTGCAAATATGAAAACTAAAAATCCAATTATAATGCATGTACAAAGGCTTTTAGCCCCAGCCCATACTGTAATGTAATACCAAACAAATGTAATAAATATGTGATTGCATCTAGCCACAATAATGCCATATTTGAAATCCAAAAGTCATACTAGTCTAATGCTTCCTTGCATTAGAGAGTTCTAATTGCAGAAAAACTCTATGAGTATAGTAAAGGGGACAGGGAATAATAGCTTTGACCTATAGCCTATATCTTGCTGGATGTTTAAAAATGATGAATATGGAAAAGCTTGTAGTCATAATTCAAATGGTACACACCACCATGATATTTACATTGGATGGGAATTCTTTAAATGAAATGATTAGGGGCACCTGGGTGGCTCAGTAGTTGAGCATCTGCCTTCAGTTCAGGGCATGATCCCGGGTCTTAGGATCAAGTCCCGCATCAGGCTCCCCATAGGGAGCCTGATTCTCTCTCTGCCTATGTCTCTGCCTTTCTCTCTGTGTCTCTCATGAATAAATAATAAAATCTTGAAAAAAAATTAATTGGGAGTGAGCTAAGGTGCCTTGTCTCCATAACATTTAGAAGTGATCATAAGGAGTGCCTGGGTGGCTCAGTTAGTTGAGTGTCTTACTCTTGATTTTGGCTCAGGTCATGATCTCAGGGTCATGAGATCAAGCCCTGTTTCCAGGTCCTTGCTGAGGGTGAAGACTGCTTTGGATTTCTCTCTCCCTTTCTCTCTATCCCTCCCTCCATACCCCAACACACATGCTCTCTCTCTTAAAAAAAAAATCATAATGACTTTAGCCATAACTCATTATACAATACCAAAAGAATTATTTTTTAATGTTTTTAAAGATTTTATTTATTCATGAGAGAGAGGCAGAGACACAGGCAGAGGGAGAAGCAGGCTCCATGCAGGGAGCCTGATGTGGGACTTGATCCCAGGACTCCAGGATCACATCCTGGGCCGAAGGTGGGCGCTAAACTGTTGAGCCACCCAGAGATCCTCAGCACCAAAAAATTTATACTAAAGAAAGGGAAATTAAAAAGGGAACAGCTGGGGCAGCCCGAGTGGCTCAGCAGTTTGGCGCCACCTTCAGTCCAGGGCCTGATCCTGGAGACCTGGGATCGAGTCCCACAGTGGGCTCCCTGCGTGGAGCCTGCTTCTCCCTCTCTGCCTGTGTCTCTGCCTGTGTGTGTGTGTGTGTGTGGTGAATAAATAAATCCTTAAAAGGGGGGAGGCGGACAGCTGAGGCTTGGAACTCTGGGGAAAGCTGCTTGGGTGAAAGAAGTCTAGCCATACTGAGATTGTAATGCTAGAGAGTCTATGTGTAGGCACCTGGGTAATAGCCTCAGCTAAGCTCTAAGCCATTATTCAGTACCATCTGTCAACTATATAAGTGAGCCTTCTGGGACACCCAATCAAGTCTTCCAGTGACCGTAGCCCCTGCTAACACCCAGCTGGAACCACCTGAAAGACCCCAAGCAAGAACTGCTCAGCGAAAGCCTTCTCAAATTCCTGACAAACAGAATGATTACATTTTATCTTTTAAAAGATTTAATGAGCGGGAGGGGGGGAGGGCAGAGGGAGAAGCAGACTCCCCATTGAACAGGGACCCTATGTAGAGTTTGATCCTAGGACCCTGGGATCATGACCTAAGTTAAAGGCAGATGGTTAACTGACTGAGGCACCCAGGTGCCCAAAGGTTACATCTTAAAAAGTAAATTGGATTGATTAAAAGAAAGGAAAAATAATCTGAGTGATATGAACATTTAAAAAATAATGATATAGGGGAGCCTTGGGTGGCTCAGCGGTTTGGCACCTGCCTTTGGCCTTTGGCCCAGGGCGTGATTCTGGAGTCCTGGGATCAAGTCCCACGTCGGGCTCCCTGCATGGAGCCTGCTTCTCCCTCTGCCTGTGTCTCTGCCTCTCTCTGTGTCTCTCATGAATAAATAAATAAAATCTTAAAAAAATAATAATGATATAAACATTTGGATTCAGAGTCAATGAGCAAAAGCATGGTGACTACTAGAGATTTTTGGCATGAAAAAAACGATCTTGAAACAGTTGAAGATTGGCTGTATTTTTTATTTGCAATTACATAAATAACTCAATGAAGGGTTCATAATACTATCTTTCTCATTCTCTGACATTAAATTATACTTAACAACTTGGTTAGTTTAGCTATGCAAATGCATTCCTCACAATTTTGCAAAAAAAAAAAAAAAAATGAAAATAGCCCTGAAATACCTACTGTGGATAATGCAGCCAGAAACAAGTTTATCTTTGAAAGATCCTGTGCAGAGTCATTTCCCTGATGCTCCATGAACTAAGAAGCAGAGGGAAATCAAGATATGGAGATAAGTACAGCCATGTCCTTGTAGAAGGTACTTTGAATGCTCTGAAGAAAGTATAAATGAATTTTTGCTTTCTAACAACTAACAATATATAAGCTACTTCTTAGAAAAAGCAGGCCCAATATTTAGGTTTTGGTGTGAAATAGGATTGGGCTAAGTTCCATACTCCTGTATAAAGATTTCTTTTGAAGGAGTTGGGCATTTCTTCTTCATTAATTTTTATGAATATTTTATGAATTGATAAATATATGAAATGACTTTTCAGCTAACTGATTTGGGCACCTCTTAGGAGTGAACATGATTTTGGAATGCAAGTCCACTTATTCCTAAATATATATAACAGAATAGGAATTAATTCACAAATTCATATTCTGTAGACCTAACTGCAAGGTCATGAGACAAAAGAGAGCTAACATGTGCAAAGATTCTATCAGTCATTTGGTAGACAGGACTCCACAGAGCATATCCACGTAATGCTTTCATTTAAAAGCAAAAGGGGGTACCTGGGTGACTCAGTTAAGCATCTGACTCATGATCTCAGCTCAGATCTTTTTTTTTTAAGATTTTATTCATTTATTTATTCATGATAGACATAGGCAGACACGGGCAGAGACACGGGCAGAGACACGGGCAGAGACATGGGCAGAGACACGGGCAGAGGGAGAAGCAGGCTCCATGCAGGGAGCCTGACATGGGACTGGATCCCGGGACTCCAGGATCACGCCCCGGACCAAAGGCAGGAGCTAAACTGCTGAGCCACCCAGGGATCCCTCAGCTCAGGTCTTGATCTCAGGGTTGTGAGTTCAAGCCTCACATTGTGGAGCCTACTTTAAAAAACAAGTAATAATAAATAAAACCAAAGGATGTGGTTCACTAAGAGAACAAAAAGGTAGGTAAGCAATTAGGGAGCCAGAACTATCCAGGTGCAAGCTATCCAGTGTCCTTATTCATTTTTTTTTAATAAACTAATTTTTACTGGTGTTCAATTTACCAACATACAGAATAACACCCAGTGCTCATCCCGTCAAGTGTCCCCCTCCGTGCCCGTCACCCATTCACCCCCACCCCCCGCCCTCCTCCCCTTCCACCACCCCTAGTTCATTTCCCAGAGTTAGAAGTCTTTATGTTCTGTCTCCCTTTCTGATATCTCCCACATATTTCTTCTCCCTTCCCTTATATTCCCCTTCACTATTATTCATATTCCCCAAATGAATGAGAACATACACTGTTTGTCCTTCTCCGATTGACTTACTTCACTCAGCATAATACCCTCCAGTTCCATCCACGTTGAAGCAAATGGTGGGTATTTGTCATTTCTAATGGCTGAGTAATATTCCATTGTGTACATAAACCACATATTCTTTATCCATTCATCTTTCGATGGGCACCGAGGCTCCTTCCACAGTTTGGCTATTGTGGACATGGCTGCTAGAAACATCGGGGTGCAGGTGTTCCGGCGTTTCATTGCATCTGAATCTTTGGGGTAAATCCCTAACAGTGCAATTGCTGGGTCGTAGGGCAGGTCTATTTTTAATTCTTTGAGGAACCTCCACACAGTTTTCCAGAGTGGCTGCACCAGTTCACATTCCCACCAACAGTGCAGGAGGTTTCCCTTTTCTCCACATCCTCTCCAACATTTGTTGTTTCCTGCCTTGTTAATTTTCCCCATTCTCACTGGTGTGAGGTGGTATCTCATTGTGGTTTTGATTTCCACAGGTATTTCCCTGATGGCAAGTGATGCAGAGCATTTTCTCATGTGCATGCTGGCCATGTCTATGTCTTCCTCTGTGAGATTTCTCTTCATGTCTTTTGCCCATTTCATGATTGGATTGTTTGTTTCTTTGGTGTTGAGTTTAATAAATTCTTTATAGATTTTGGAAACTAGCCCTTTATCTGATATGTTATTTGCAAATATCTTCTCCCATTCTGTAGGTTGTCTTTGAGTTTTGTTGACTGTATCCTTTGCTGTGCACAGTGTCCTTATTCATATACAGACTGTATTCTATCTCCAGATTGAACCAGTGTCCTTATTCATATACAGACTGCATTCTATCTCCAGATTGAACCACTAAAATCTGTGTAAATCTTTACTTTGGGAGTGCTCAAGGCAGAAGTTCCCTGCAAGGGCTTTTTATGCCCCTCTGTTCACTCATTACATAGTCAAGCTGGGCTTTCTAATCATTTACTTGATTAAACAAATTAGTTCTAGGGGTGTACAGGGGAATTTTAACTTTAAATAGCACCTCACATATCTCTGTCCTTATCTCAATTATGAGTCAATGCCAGACATCCAAGCAGCATGAGGATAATGTTAGAGTTTTTCCAACTGTAAATGACCTCCATCCTACAAACATTTATTCATTTCCCATGAATTTTCTGGCAATGTGTATATATAAACAAGCTTGTTACCTTCCTTCCTGTGCCCTAGTATCAGATTATACACAGGACATACAAAATTTGAGACTTTCTTGCCAGGTAATACTTGACTCTCTCTAGTCAATTTGAGGCCCAGCAAGAGAACCAGGCTTGCCAGAAGTAATATGCAATAGCAAAAAACACAGGCATCGATACTCTTGTCTAACATTCATCTGCGATGTTCTACCATTTGACATATTCACCAGTTTATGATCTGGAACTTTTCAAAACCCTAGATGTGTGACAATACCAAGCACTGATGAGAATGTGGAACACCTGGAGCTCTCATACATTGCTAAAAGGAATGAAAAATGGTGAAACCACTCTGGAAAAACAATTTGGCAGTTTCTTAAAAAGTTAAATATCTACTTCCCATATGACCTAGCAATCCCACCTATAGATATTTACACTAAAGAAATGCCCAGGTGGCTCTGTGGGACGCCCGGGTGGCTCTGTGGTTAAGTGTCTGCCTTTGGTTCAGGGCATGATCCTGGAGTCCCCGGATCGAGTCCCACATCAGGCTCCCTGCACGGGGCCTGCTTCTCTC